CTACACGAACAAATCTAAGACTCAGTAGGCCAAGACAGAAATGTTGAAGAGAAACTACATTTTAAAAAACCAAAATAAAGAAAGAATCGACAACAACAAATAATGACCTCTTCTGGAACTTGTGTGGTAGACGGTGTTGTCTGAAAAGGTACACTGGGTGCATGTGGCAATCTAGAAAGTTGCTCCAGTAGTGTAGTCCTGGGGAATAAAACGTATAACAATGAAATATCAAAGACTTGACAATAGGAACAAAGAGATTATGAAACAACATGCACTAAGCAAGCCAGATAAAGGAGATTCCATCCAAAAAGGTGTAAATGCTGTAGGTAAACATAATACTGACACCCAAAACGAATCAAAGTTCTGCTATTGCAAAACGAATCAAAGTTCTGCTATTGCGAAACGAAAATAACTTCCAAAACTTGAAATGCTCTTGCGCCTCAGAGTCAACACACATGCTTATCCATATAGCTTATTTATAGAGTGACATTTAGTTATAAAACAGAATACGGCAATACTCAATATCACCTTATTTTCTCCATATCTTTGGGATTGTTCATATTCTCCATATTGCACGGTTCTACATGAAGAGTGTAATCTGGGCCAAAATACTCAAAATATTCATTGTACGGCAACTTGTTATCTGGCTCAACTCCAACTGCAACCGCTGTCTGACACAAAATGAGAAATGCAACATCTCAAGAACTCAATAAAATAACTTCGAATACTAGAAGGAAAACTGATCGGTACTGTGAAATTGAATGGTGAAGAGGAGTCACAAAGTTAAGGGGAAACCTCATAGCACCAGCAACGGGCGACATTCCGTATTGTATATCCACCGCCACCCAAGACCATCAGAGGAACATTAAAGGATCTGAGGAAACGAAGGCAATCAGCATGCCCCTTAACTGACAAATTGAAGCACCCCAACCGATCACCAGATAAAGAATCTGCTCCGCATTGAAGAACAACTGCGTCTGGTTGATATAATTCCATAACTTTTTGAATGATGGGCTGAAACAGACCACGGAAACTCTCATCATCAAGTCCATCATTTAGCGGGACATTGAGAGCATAGTTCTTGCCAGGCCCCACACCAATGTCCTTAATGTGTCCAGTCCCTGGAAAGAACTCCCCAAATTTATGGAAGGACACGGTCATCACTCTGTCAGTGGTGTAAAATGCCTCCTCAACACCGTCTCCGTGGTGAACATCAATATCCACATAAAGTACACGCTGTGCAATGACAACGAAAGAATCACATAAACAACGTTTTCAATCTAAGCCTAGACAAAAGGCAGAGAGTCGAGAAGCGTAACTCAAAAAGTATAAATGTGAAAAGTCGCAAATATTCAGAACCTACAAAATCTCGATACTTCTACGAGCAATGACGACTTATTCCAACTACATTACTACATTGCAATGAGAGAATCCTAGTTTTATGCTTAAAAGATTGACCCACTTGCTTCTCTCATGTTACAATTCTCTCCATAAAGCCACCTTTTCTACTAGATGAACTGCTGGTTCCAATATTTCAATTGATCACCGGTGAAAGGACTCCGCGAGCCGAGATGGCTAACTAGTGCTAATCCAATACTAAAACACTAGAAACTGTTATAGTATAACAGAAAAGTACATAGAAACATTCACAATTCAAAGTACGAAATAAAAAATGAGAAAAAATCCCAATTCACAGTTGAACAAAATAACAAGCTCCATAACAGAAATTTGAAACTTGTCCAGAGAAAGAAAAGGGCAAAACGAGCATTTTCTTGAAATTCCTAATATAAAAGAAAAGTACAGCAAAAAAATCCCAATTCAAAGTCTGATTACAGCAAACCATACCCAAATTTCCAATTTCGCAGTCCAAAAATCAATGCATTACTAAGAATTCAAAATTCTCCAAAAGAAAGAAACGTTATTACCCTATGAACCTTGAGAAGCTCGAGAATCCCAAGGACAATATCATTGACATAGCAAAACCCGGAGGCCTCGGACTTCTTGGCGTGGTGCAATCCTCCGGCCCAATTGATGGCGATATCGGCGTCGGAGCGGTTAAGCTTGACGGCGGCGCCGATGGAGCCGCCGGCGGAGGCCTGGCAGAAGGCGAAGAGGCCGTCGAAGACGGGGCAGTCCTCGCCGACGTTGAAGCGCTTGAGGTGGCGGGAGAATGAGGAGTCGGCGAGAGTGGAGGGGGAGACGGAGGAGAGGAAGTCGACGTAGTCGGGGGAGTGGAAGAGGCGGACGTCGGCGGGGGCGGCGAGGAAGGGACGGCTGATCTCCATCCGACGGTGGAGGCCGTAGTGGACGATCAGGTTGTGGGCCATCCTGATCCGGTGGGGCTTCATCGGGTGGCCCTGGCCGTAGTAGTAGTCTCCGATCGTCGGCTCGTAGAAGTAGCTCACGCGCCGCTTCTTCGCATCGGTTCCCGAAGACGCCAGCGACGCGCCGCCGCCACCGTCTTCCATGCCTCAGGAGGAAAAAAATAATTAAAAAATTAAAAAATTAAAAAAAAAAAAAAAAGCGAGCTTGTTTACTCTCTTCTGTGTCGACTGTCGAGGCGACGACGAGGAGGAGGAGCGAGACTGAACAGAGAGAGAGAAACACACATTGTGATTGGGTACTGGGTCAAATAGATATTAAGCCCAATATTTTGTCGGATGGATAATGGGCCCAATTTGAACGACTTTACATTTAATTTGGTAGATTATCATTAGTAACTTACCATATTATTTCAATTTTTCCAACATGTATTACGGCTTTTTATATTTGGGTGTGGTTTTAATGGTTCTTTTATTTAAGGTAATCTTAATAAATAGTAATGATTTTTATCCTTTACTCTTAATTCATAATATTTTTAATTAAATAATTACATTAACAAAAGGGTATTTAGTAGGGCTGTTCATAAACCCGAACAACCCGCAAACCCAACCCACCCCGCCCCAACCCAAGCCGAAAAAAGCAACCCGCAGCATTATTTTTAAATTTGCGGCTCATTATACCTCTGGCCCGAAGTGTTTGGGGCAGATTGCGGGTTGGGCCCATAACAACCCGCAATCCCCAACCTAACCCGCACAACATACCCCCAAGCTTTCGGCCCAAGCCGAACTGCCCAAGTTCTACCCTAGGCTCGCTAACATTAGGGTTCACAATCTCATTCTCGGTCTCCCCTCCCGTGAACCCCCTCTTATTGCCTCTTCCTTTTCAGTTTTCCCTCTTCTTCCCCTCCCGTGAATCCCCTCATAACTCTCTCCTCATTGCTCAGTCCTCTCGGTCGCCGTCTTGCCCACTTTCTCCGGTGCTCTCTCGCCGGACTGATAAGGATGGTTGCTATTTCTATTTAATGATGAAGTTTGAATATTATATTAAACTTTAAGTCTTTGATTTTTTGAATGTTGAAACCGACCACCCAACCCACCCCGCACCGCCCCAACCCAACCCGAACATTGTTGGGTTGTGAAATTTTTCTAATATTGTTGGGGCCAAATATGTGCAACCCGCACCCTTTGGGGCGGGAAAAAAAGTCGTACCCCGCATCAACTCAACCCATGAACAACCCTAGTATTTAGCAAGAGTAATAAGTAAAATTTTATATCACAACACACCATCAAATTTTTATATTTGATAAGTAACCAACACGAAAACTTAACCATTTAAAACTCATTCTTTTAAATATATATGCAAAATTTAAATCATATGGTAAAATGTTATATATTACAATAGTTATTTTATATCATTAAAATAATTATTATTTAATTATATAGTACAAAATATAACATCAACATGATGACTATTATGTAAATTTTGTTATTTTTATATTATTTCATAAATTAGTTAAATTTCAATTTAGGTATTAAATTTTACCAAGTAACCTAATCATCTATTTTATGGGGCCGGTGGTCAGAGTAATGTGATAGGTAATCTACTAGGTTTATTGTTCGAATTCAAGTAAAAAAATAAAAATAAATAAATAAACCAAAAATAAAAAATCAGATTTAAAAAATATTGCATCAACAAAATAAAAAAATCATAAGCAAAATGATAAAAATATACAAAAATTTGAGATTGCAATAAAACAAAACCCAATTATTGACAAATAATCTCGTATAAAAACTAAAAATCGTTAATCAGATTACGATAACCAAATAATCATAATGATATCAACTCTTATATTTTAAACAAAATATTAATTCATTATTAATTATTTCTTAAAACACCCAGCTACTTCATCCTTATGTCTGACTTCTGTAGGCAATTAAATGATATCTTTGTAACGAGTGATTACAAAATAGAAACACTTGACTAGACCGCAAAAAAAATTTCCGCTTAGAGAATTATAATCTATTATTAATAGACGAGTGATGACAATCCAATTAGTTATAAACTCCTACATTCTAATTATAGATTAAGAGTTTGAGTCAAATTGAGCCCACTAAAAAATGGTGAAATTTCTCCCTTCCCATTATTGAAAAATAATAATAATATCTATTATTGATGGCCACATACGAAATGACATTAATCTTTAGTGTATCATAAAACACACTAATAGATTGTATCTTTTAACTTACCAATAGGTGAGGTTAAGGCCTCGTTGATTTCACCAATTCAAGTTTTGTAACAGTAAAAAATTCTCAGAAACAGTTACATTTAACTTTTTTACTACAGTAAAAAGTTCTCACATAAAATCACATCTCAATTCAAATTAAAAACTTAAATCATCGAACCAAACGGATCGAACCAAACGGGCCAATGAAATGAACGACCAATATCTAAACATCTTTAAAATTATATTTTATGGATACGTGAAACTCCATAATAAATATGGAATCCACAACTTTGTAAAAGGATAATAATAACATTCTCATGAAAAATTGATTCAAGTTTTGGATAAATGAGTTCTCAAATATATTTGAGTGAGATAATACCAACAAAAGCCAATTATATTAATGAATAGATCATAATTAAAAGGAAAATAACCTTGCTCTCATTATATGAATATATTGTGGAGGATTACCAAAATAATATGAAAAATTGTAGGAAATAACCAATTTTTAAAATTTTTAGAAGTAAATATCTAATCAGTAGAAATTAATAGGCCATTCTTTATTTTAAGCTCTTTCTTTTTCAATTTTACCCTTCACTGTATTCTTCCCATTTTTTGTCCTCTTTCTTCTCGAGCTCACTCTATCTCATAACCGGCCTCTCTCTTTCTCTCTCCGATAACCTTTTCTCTTATCCAACCTCTCTCTCTACCGTTCTTCCCCTCTCTCCTCTTCCTCTGTCTCTCCGCGCCGTTGCACTTTGTCATCTTCTTCGCTTGTTTCTTCTTCTTCTTTGCAACGTCGGCTCATCGGCATTTTCTTGCGATGATGCCCAGATTTCCTCACGACGGCGTCGCGAGTGCGGAACATGAAGGAGATCTCCTCGTGAGGCCGGAACTGGGAAATCCAGTTTATCGTGACATCGGAATCGTCAACGGGAGCTCGTCACGACGCTGGAAAAAATGAAGGGGATCTCCTCCAGCGAGTGGCCATTGTTCATAGAGAGAGAAGAAGGTGTTAGATTTTGGACATGCATATATACATATATAATAATAATTGTATATTATAGGCTATCATATTAAGTTAAGCTCATTTAAAGTGATCAAATAAAATTTTAGGTAATTTGGTCTTTAATGTATCTAATAAGTGTGGGCTTAATATATGTAGAGATTAAATCGTTATTTCTTATTTTATGATAAGTCAAATTATAAATAATGAAGAGTTGACTTCTATATTAATGGTTGTGGTCCCCAAATTATAGGTATGAAACTTTTCTGACATCCTAACATTAAAAAAGTGAGAATTTCTTCTCAAGGCATTCATACTGAATAATTTGGAAGATCAAGAACTAAAAGATTGATCAAGAACCATAAGATTCAAGAAACAATCCGTTCCTATGGACTCAGGTACGCTTCCGCGTAAATCTATTCTTCTTGATGATTTGACATGGTGAATCTTGGTGTGGTTAAGAATTTCATCAATAAAGAATTTATTTCCATCAAGTGGTATCAAAGCAATCCATGTTAAGTCATTAAGAGAAATTATTCTCTAATTTTTCGGTTGATGCTTTCGGACATTCTCTTTGATATTTGCTCTGCTTCCATATTATATATACATATATAAGTAAGGATACTAGAATTTTGTTGTCGTTTTCCTATGGACTCTCAGTTTATATGTGTATATATATAGGATGCAGAACATAATATAAGTTTCAAACAAAGGATTCAAGAAAACTGGCCAAACTCCGACAATATGCTATCTGGACACGGCGTTTGCCGCCGCCGGCATTGTAAAACGTCCGGTCGCGCCGGTGATGAAGAGCGCCTACAGCCGCTACGGTTGGGACTGGCGG